CCACCCTGGCATTGAAGTCGACAAGCACGATTTTGGTATCAAGGCGGGGGCAGCGCTCGTATGTGAGCTCCAAGTGCTCATAGCAAAGATCCTTGGACGCCTCGTCCTTCTCTTCCGTCGGGGCATGGGCGCAGTTTAGCGAGATGTTGAAGAATCTCGCTTTGATGCGGATTGTGGCTAGACGTTCGTCCACCGGGGTGAACGACAATACTCGCCGACGAAGTTTCTCTCACCCCACAAATCCTTTACGTGACAACTGTTGTAGACGTCACAAGGCCCCAGAAATTCTTTGCCTTACCCCGTCCAAAGCATTTCTTAAATGGTGGTGATGTCAGCTTTTTTCCTTACGAGGACATCAACCAGCCGGGCAGAGGCATCTTCCCCATTAAGGGTCCGGACATTCCAGGTGCATGTCCTCAAATCGTAGTCCTTTAAACGTTTTCTGTGGTCGTCATCGAAAGGGGGTTCTCATCGGAGGCTTTGTGTCTATTTTTCATTGGAGCCCGTTTTTACGTTGCGGGTCCTAAACCCAGCGCACTACCCATTGCTGGGGCGATGGTGGTTTCGAAACCGAATACACGTTTATATAGCGAGTTTATAGTTTATTAAAACATTAATAAACATTAAGCAAACGAACACAAAAGTTACCAGTTTTTTAGATTTGCCCATACATATACATATGTACATACATATGTACACGTATGTATTACGTGTATACAAATTAATTCACATAAATATTAATTCAATGTAATTTTAAAATGCCTTGGTGAAAGCAACATCGCAAAAAAATGTAGAAAAAAGTTTTTTTCTTAACAGCGGTCGCCCCTCGGCAGGAAATGGCAAACCTCCAAGTGTATTTCCGCCATGAAAAACAGCTTCTCATAAAAATACAATCGCTGTTCGGAGTCGGCGTAAAACTGTAGGCCCCTCCCCTTTGTGTGACGACATCAAGGCATACGCCACAAACCAGAGGAACAGTTGGGCATTATTATTGAAAGTCCCCTGAGGAGAACCAGAGTTTTCCGATTGAAAAATATTGATTTTCAAGAATTTTATTTTTCCCATTTAAAAATACATGAAAAACTTTGAGCGATTTGAGCAACCTCTAAATATTTATTGATTTCAAAATAAAAAAGTAGGGGTATACTTTTTTCGATATAGAACAATCCTAGGGGGTGAGAGGATTACGATTTTCACTTTGCTGTTTTTTGACCACCCTAATGTACATGCAGTGGTTGAACAAATTATGGCCGCGTCACATATTCACAAGTATTAACATACTATTTTTCTTATTTAATTTTGATTATTTTTTTTTATAAAACTATAGTTTATTCTTTAACAAAAGCCGTATAATCCAAGTTTGAAACTTTGTGCAATATTTAAAAAAAATTCATTATACTTTCGTTAAGATTTGGAGCTTTTTAGTTAGATTTCCTAGAAAGATTTTTAGTATGCAGTTTTGGAGACCATTGAATTTTAATAGAATGAAGTTCAAGTTTCAAATGGCTAA